GGGAACAATGCTCCGTCCTCTCGAGGACGCATGGTCAATGGTTTAACCGCTAAGGCATGCAAAACAAAAGAGTGCGCCCCCCCCCACAATCAGGAACACTCTAGCTTTGTGGCTGATTTCGTACGTTCTGAAGCGTTTCATGATCTGATTTTTTGTGCTCATGCGTCTGTTGCAACATGTATCCATTTGCGGAAAAAAAAATGCAAGTCCACGCCCGGGGACAAGATCCTCACATCCCCGGGTTTGCCGGCTGAAATCGGGGACGGATTTTTCCTCGTTTTTGACCGTACGGCGGTGCTGCGCACATGAAAAGAGCCAGAACTACGAGATTAATGCACAGTTGGCTCATTCTGGTCATATATCGACTCCCTGAAAAGAAAATAGGACGNGGGGACAAGATCCTCACATCCCCGGGTTTGCCGGCTGAAATCGGGGACGGATTTTTCCTCGTTTTTGACCGTACGGCGGTGCTGCGCACATGAAAAGAGCCAGAACTACGAGATTAATGCACAGTTGGCTCATTCTGGTCATATATCGACTCCCTGAAAAGAAAATAGGACGAAAACGTTGCGTAGGTGATGTAATGCCCGTTCAAACAGGCATACCTTGGACCTGGCCGCTACGGTAAGAATTCTCCGCGCGGAACCCAAGGCCATTTCCCTTGTTTCACATTCACCTTACACTCCCACAACGTGCCCTCTTGTGGGTAGGTGTTTTCAATGAAAACAAACGTTTTTATAAAAAAAATAAAAATCCGTGCATACCCGGGGACAAAATTGCCATAATTGCCATATCCCCGGTTTCGCGGCAAAATCAAGGTATCGCCCCCCCCCCCCCCCCCCCCCCCCCCCCCCCCCCCCCCCCCCCCCCCCCCCCCCCCCCCCCCCCCCCCCCCCCCCNCCCCCCCCCCCCCCCCCCCCCCCCGACCTCGGTGCAGGATTGCACCCCAAGCATCGCTGCACTGCATAGCCCTAGAAACCACCCCAAGCTTCTACTAAGCACATCAATTTGACTGCAAGAAAAAACTATGTCGTCTGGAGCTCATTTGACCTCTTAACATAGACTACATACATTCAGCACGTATACTGGGCCAGGCAAAAAGCAGCTTGGCACTGCCGTGAGACTTCTCGTAGAAAATCGCACCTGTTTCTTACAACTCGAAGGCCCCATCGAAAGGTCCTTTCAAGACGATCAGCTCAAGTCGCGAAGCAGCAAAAAAAATCAATAGCCCTTCAGGCCCGGGGGCAGCATTTCCACGTCCCCGGGGTGCTGGAAAACACCGCTACACCCCCCATCCCCCCCCCCCCCCGTGGGACGCTCGAAAACTACCCCCAAAAGCTGTTGAAGCACAACCCCGAAATGCATATCGGCACCTCGACACTAACTGACGTTTTCTGTATGTCTCACTCGAATAATTCATCCTTCACTCGAATAAATCGATAGCCGTACAGCATCTGGTCTACACATCAACGATTGGTGTCGAAGTTCGTTGCCGTCCTCGAGAGGAAAAAGGAGCCGCCGGCGGCGGCGGCTGAACCAAGGGAACCACCGCCCTTCTCGGCCGTCCCACTCCTCCTTGGACGCGAGCACCGGGCCCCACCCGCCCACGAGCGCCTCTTCCCTCTCCGCGAGCACCAGCGGGGAGGCCCCGGCCAACCTGTCCCTGGCCGCGCCCGTCTCGCCCTTCCTGACCCCCACCACAGCCGCGCCCCCCGACCTCCGTCCGCGTACCGTTTTTGCCTTAGCAAGGTGTTCTTCGGCGGACAGGAGACCGCCCTCGGGCTTCCTCCCGCCCGCCCGAACGGTCGCGAAAGACTTGGAGCGCCTGGTGAGGCGGGTGAGCCCGCCGAGGAACACGGTGTTCACGCGGAGGCCCTCGATCATCACTCCCTGTCGTTTCAGCTCCAGGAGGGCAGCGTGGCCGAGATCTTCTTCGAGCTGCTTCTTGGAGGCAACGACGGCGAGGTCTTCAGGGCTAGGACGGTCATTCTCCCATTGCTTCCTCTTGCTGTGTAGTCGGTTGATGGCTTTCTCCATGTTCACCGGCCACAAGCCCGCTCCTTTGAACGCCGTCATGTTATTCGCAGGCGTGAAGCTCCCTCTCCATGCCTCCGCAATCACGCCAGCCATGTCGCGCTGCACTGGACTCCTCCCCCCGATTTTCAGGGGGTAGGCCGTGAGCACCCTTGTGAGCTCCTTCTTGAAGGTTCCGAACGTACCAACGTCCAAGGGCTGGGTGATGTGCGATGTGTGGGACGGAAGCTGGAAGAGGTCGATGTCCAGAGAGATGGCCAAGCTGATGGCGTGGAAGGTCGTGTGCGAGGCGTGGTCGTCGAGCACAAGGGCAACCTGCAAGCCGCGTGCATCGAGCTGTTCGCGGAGGTCTTGAAGGTAGTCGAGGAACACGTGGCTCCGGACGAAGGATGACTCCGTGACGGTGTACTTCGCATCGGGGACGCCGTTCTTGNCACGCCAGCCATGTCGCGCTGCACTGGACTCCTCCCCCCGATTTTCAGGGGGTAGGCCGTGAGCACCCTTGTGAGCTCCTTCTTGAAGGTTCCGAACGTACCAACGTCCAAGGGCTGGGTGATGTGCGATGTGTGGGACGGAAGCTGGAAGAGGTCGATGTCCAGAGAGATGGCCAAGCTGATGGCGTGGAAGGTCGTGTGCGAGGCGTGGTCGTCGAGCACAAGGGCAACCTGCAAGCCGCGTGCATCGAGCTGTTCGCGGAGGTCTTGAAGGTAGTCGAGGAACACGTGGCTCCGGACGAAGGATGACTCCGTGACGGTGTACTTCGCATCGGGGACGCCGTTCTTGTCCTGGATCCAAACGGGTTGCATACGCTGGCCTTTGTAGATGATGATAGGGTTGTAGGTGGGGCCGTCGGCGCCGATGCTGGCGACCACCGTCGTATTTTCTCGCGAGGTGGAGCGCCTGGCGCCGGGCACCTTGGTGCCTGTTGGCACGATAGCCTTCCCCGACTTTGTACCTTGCGGGGTGAAGCCTACAACGCACACCGGAGAACGCGCGTGCATCGGGGGTGGAGGCAGTCGAACAATCANAACGGGTTGCATACGCTGGCCTTTGTAGATGATGATAGGGTTGTAGGTGGGGCCGTCGGCGCCGATGCTGGCGACCACCGTCGTATTTTCTCGCGAGGTGGAGCGCCTGGCGCCGGGCACCTTGGTGCCTGTTGGCACGATAGCCTTCCCCGACTTTGTACCTTGCGGGGTGAAGCCTACAACGCACACCGGAGAACGCGCGTGCATCGGGGGTGGAGGCAGTCGAACAATCAGTGAAGTGCACATACTTTCGCAGCAGCAGCGCTTGCACACACAAAAATGCGCGCGTACACACGCACATGATGAGCGCAGCTCGCACTGGGCGGTGGCACACAGCGGTGGTGACGGGACCATTTTTTTTCAACGGCAGTCGGATTCGTTTAGACTTTGGGTGTGAGTCAACAACCCCACATCCATGAAAGTTTACAACATTGAGCTCGAAACCAAGGTGGGTTTACAAAGCAAAGCGTCCTACTCGCAGTCTCGACTTGACTGCACTTCGCACAGCATTGGCAACACACGTGCATGCGGACCAACACCGCACACGCTCGCTGTCGCGTGTGGCACACAACAAAAACACCGTGTAGAATATCTATCGTACATGAGCCCTACCATTTCTGTGCTAGAGTAAAACTGAGATGACCACAGGTATTGTTGCATACTGAACCCTCAACCGGATCCAGCATCGTATGCGCGTTGTGTGCTACAAGCATGGCAAGCAGCAGCGGCCTCGGAGAGATGCAGATGGCGCCCGCACATCAGAACCTCTAGTTTCGGCCGAGGTTGGGGTTCTTTTTCTGCTGATCATCCTCTTGTGGGCTACAAATGGCCGCTATATAGGTTTTAGTGTGGGGTTCTTGACCGAGCTCACAAATGGTGCTCAAGTTCTTAGCTTCTGATTTTTTGCGAGTCTCAATTTCTTAACTGCTAACTTCTCAAGTGCGGGCGCTATCTGTGGTCTATGCGGAGCAACTGCTGCTTTATTTTTTTTGCAGCAACAGCAGCAGCAGCACTCCGCTTTGTTGTGACACACGTCACACATCGCAGTGCTGCTGGTACTTCGCCTACGAACCCACAGCAGTCGATACCGACACCACTGACACCTCAGCCCTTGCCCTAACTCACTTGTCTCGTCCGTGTTGATGATGCGGTCCGGCGTGAGCTTGGTCTCCGCGAGGTACGCTTCCCATGTCTCGTAGAATGCTTCAAGGCGAGGCTCGTCGTCTTCGTTGATCCGGTTTGCTTCGTAGATGTGGGTGGCTCGCTCCGACAACCCCGGGTGGCTCACCATGAATACCTCAAGCCAGCTGTTCCGGGTCTTCCGGGTCCTTGTCTGGGTCCCAGGGCACCTTGCGTCCGTTGAGGCAGATCTTCCGCACAGCTTCTTTCAGCTCCCTCCGACCCAATGCAAGAAGTGTCGGGAGGCGTAGATAACACATTTTCTACGAAATCTTCCTCCTCCTTGCACAGGACAGTCGCGGGACCCACCCTCGCATCTATGGCCGCCTCCTTCTTCACACTGCGGTGGAGCGAGGTCGGGTTCAACCCGTAGGTGTCCGCACCAACCCTAAACGACATCTCACTGCTGCGTACTGCAACGACAGACTTCTGGGCCCGCACTGGGTCTACTCTCGCCCGTCCCATGCTTAACAGCAGGACTCCAGCAAGGGCAAAGATGGCCCACATCAGGGGTGTCGGTGGGGGCTGTGCTGTAGCTTGGCAGTGCTTGATCCGATCGGCACGCTGAAGTGCTCAAACGAGAGCTAACGGAAAGCTGATTCCGTTTGCGCCCGATCACGTTGAAACATCATCAGTGCTGGAGCACAGGGACTGCCAGCTACTACCTGTTATGACGTTCTGTTCCGGGGAGCTAGTGTTGTCGTCTTTGCCGGCGGGGTCTCGGAGAAGCGTCGACTACTTTGGAGATTGATCGGTGCATCGGCCGCACGTAGGCCGGGGGCGGAGATATGAGCGGGGACGAGATCACCTCCGACGAGTCTGTGATTGGCCTCGAAGAGTATGAGGCGGAGCGGCAGGACAGCGCTAATGAGCGGGCCGTCATCAGCGCCTCGGNGGGCGAAGGAGTCGATCCGCCGTCCTCGGAGAAGCGTCGACTACTTTGGAGATTGATCGGTGCATCGGCCGCACGTAGGCCGGGGGCGGAGATATGAGCGGGGACGAGATCACCTCCGACGAGTCTGTGATTGGCCTCGAAGAGTATGAGGCGGAGCGGCAGGACAGCGCTAATGAGCGGGCCGTCATCAGCGCCTCGGTGGAGGACCTAAAGGCCGACATGGCGGCGAGGTTCGCGGAGGTGCTGGAAGCTGTGCGTGCTCGGGGCGGCGGGGCCGCCGCTGGTGACGCTGCCGGAGTTGCACCAGCGCCCATGTATGGGGGCACGAGTGCAGCTGCCGGGGTGGCGCCGGCGCCCATGTATGGGGGCGCGAGTGCGGCTGGTTCCTCGGCCGACTACGGGTTACACCGCGTGGAGTCGAGTCCCGGGTTGCTGCAGGGCGCTGGTCTGTATGGCAGTGGGGGCGGCTTAGGCTTCACTCCCGCGATTTCGTTCCCGTTTGGAGCGGGGGGCCTTAACATGGACTCCGGTGGATACGGGACGGGAACGAGGGTGTAGCATGCCCAGCGACGGATGGAAAAGGTGATCTCGGACTAGCGGGTGAACGCTTGGAGCTCGGCGAACAGTCATATGTGGTTGGAGGCGGCATCGCAAGCGCGGGTGAATCGTGTCGAAGCCTCGTCTAGGCGGTCATCGACGACGTGGCGCGGCACGCTCGGGAGAATTACACGGCCATCCAAGCGCAGCACAACCGAGACATCGTCTTGAGGTTCCTCGTCAAAGACATGGAAGTGTACACTCGCGAAGTGCAGCTGTTCGCGGACGAGAGGCAGCGGCGCTTCGTTCTCCCTCCGCCGTCGGACGCTCTTTCGCCCCCCCCCCTCCTGGGTTTCCCAAACATCGCGGCGTATCTCCGGTCGGGAGGGCTGATCAATTCTGCTGTGCAAGGCAAGTCTGGCCGTTCGTCAGCCGCCGCAGCGGGTGCCGGGGGGACGGGCAGCGCAACCAAGGAGCAGGGGGTGTGCTACAAGTTCCAGAAAGACGGTAACTGTCGGTGGGGGAAGAAGTGCAAGTTCGCGCATGTGGCGCCACGGAAGGCCGGCCGAAAGGGAGGAAAAAGAGGGGGCGCGGCTGGCGGCGGCGCCGAGGATAGCAACTCGAAAGGTAGCCCCTCCACCGCCGCCGACACCAACTCCCCTGCCGCCGCCGCCCCAGCGAAGCGGGCCAAGGGGGCAACGGCCGGGACGATGACTCGCAGCAGTGCGAAGGGCGGTGCCGGCGGCGGCGCGAAGGACGATGCTGAAGAGTAGGGGCGCGGGCTCTGTCCCCCGGGGGGGAGGGCCGTCTTTCGATGTCGCGGGGGGCGTGGTCTCGGGCCGAAGCACGCACCTCCTGCGACCAGGGGCGGCGGCTACTGCGTTGACCCGAGGTGGGGTTGGTTCTTTAGATGGCAATGATGTTAGGCGTATTGTTTCCATGGTGCATGCTATGTCTCAGATCGTCGCGAAAGGCACACCACGTGCAACCGTACTTGCTCAGATCGCGGTGAAGTGTTTTCGGTTTTTGTCTCGGCATGGGGGAAGCTTTGAATGCATGCAAGCCATCGAAAACGGCATCGGGGTGCCGCGGGTACGGCCTGAATTGTTCGGTTTTGGTTTGGACGCTCAAAGGGTTTTCCTCACACAGAGACTGTTGCTGTTCTTGTGGAACATGGCGCCGTAGTACCCGTGTGTGGGTCTGCCGAAATCGCAGCAGCGCTATCGTATGGTAACCACCGTAGTATAGCCCAACATTCTGACACCCTTCTCGGGAAAGTGTTTGATGACGAGCGGTTCGGGCGGGCGTTCGTGTTTCCAAAGAAAGAGGCAGAATCGATACCGGGGTTGCGGTTGTCGCCGCTAGGTGTGGTCGTGTCGCCTGAGAAAATTCGGATTATCCATGACTTGACGTTTGAATGCTCACCCGTGTCGCGTGGTGTCAATGCCGACACGGATTCAGAAGCGGCGCCGAGGGTCGAGTTAGGTCAAGTGTTGCGGGACGTTGTGTGGCGCATTTTATGGTTGCGGAGGACGTGCGGACCATCGGCCCGGATTGTGTTGAGCAAAATTGACGTTACGGACGCGTTTCGGCAGGTTGCGGTTCAATGGTCGGGAGCTCCCGTGTTTGGTTACTCACGTGGGGACTTTGTCGTGGTAGATGGGCGCTTTGTGTTTGGGTGGCATAATTCGCGTGGCAATTTTTGTGTCATGACCGCCGCGTTGGAGCACTCTCACAATCACACGTCTGAGGATAATGCAGTTGTCACTGAGCTTGGCCGGACGGCTACGAACCATGTTGAAGTTCCGATACCCAGCGCACGGGAGACGCCACCCCCATTCCCTCCTTGGTGTCGCATTCCCCCCGGTCCGGGGGGCGGTCGTTCCTACTCGTTTTTCGTGCGGTTCTATGTAGACGATGGTATTCTTGTGGAAGTGATGTGGAGCCCGACTGGGGCACGATGTAAAGTAGCTTCCGCGTCGTATGCATCGGACCATTACCGGGTGTTTGGGGCGCGCGGGTCAGGGGACCCCCCCTTGTTGTCTCCACGTAAACTTTCCTCCTGGCTAACAAGGTTGTGTGTGCTAGGGTGGGACATTGATACGGTGGCTATGACCATTTCGGTTCCCACAGACAAGCTGGAACGACTGCGGGCGACAGTCCGCGAGTGGCCCCCCACACGCTGCTTTGCTTCTGTGTCCGAGTTGCGGGGCGTAATTGGTTCGTTGTTGCATATCTGTGAGGTCGTGCGACCTGGTAAATATTTTGTTCGCCGCATGCTCAACCAGTTGGGGCTACCACCGGCGCAATTGACCGCCCGGGGGGTGGCACGGAAACGGATCGGTCCCGAGTTTCATGCCGACATGCGGTTTTGGCGTCTGATGGTCGAAGGGGGCCTGGGATCGCCGTCGCGGTCGTTAACAGCCCCACTTGTATGTTTTTTCGATCATCCATACTCGTGTCTTTTGTGGTCGGACGCATCTGGAGATGCGATGGGGGGGTATTTCTTGCATGCCGAATTCCGTTCGGGAGTGTGGTGGCGTTTTGCATTTAGTCAAGAAGTACGGGAGAGGTTTCGCCAGCAGGCTGAGGGGCGCGACGATTTGAGCATCAACATGCTCGAACTCCTCGCAATGGTAGTTGGCGCCTGGGTGTTCATTGTACAATCGGACATGAGGCCAGAGTACGCCGGCAATAGCATCCGCATTATGGGAGACAACTCTTCGAGTGTGGCGTGGGTGAACAAGTGTCGGGTGGGGAGCGAGCCCCGATCGGGGGCACTCATGCGTATGCTAGGATGTTTGGAGATGGGCAGCGGATGGTGTTTTGAGGCGGCTCATGTTCGGGGGGTCGATAACACGATTGCAGATGGTATTTCACGATGGGAGCCGGCGACCATTGACGCTCGTCTTTGCCTGTCCCGTCCCAATGTCGCCTGGCGCCAACAGGTCTTGAGCCCGGAGGTCCCCGATCTTTGTACCGGCGTCTTAGCGGCGAGTACGTCCGCGAGTCAGTTGCGCAGTCGTCTCGAAGAACTTACCTGTCGGGTTGGCGGGCTTGGTGTGCTTTTCGCCGCATGAGTGGTGAGTCGGAGTACCTCTCGGGGAATGTGGACGGTGCTGGGCTGGAACAAGCACTTTTGGAGTTGTGGCGTGGTGTTGTGCAGACAAGGGTAACATTGCACCGACCATATCCGGCAAGCTCGCCGCGGTACAGTACTGTCATCGAGTCGACAAGCAGCTTGAGTTGCC